TCTCTTCCCCTCTCCCACCTCCTTTTCCCAGTCTCCCCAAGTTTTGTTCAATAAAGAGAGTTTCTATTTTTGAACACGTGTCCTTTATTTTGTACATCAGGAAGGGGGGCTAGGGAGGGGTAAGTGGAAGGAGGTGAGGGAGGAATGGGGTACGAGCCCCCGATGGGGAGGACTGGGCTGGCTCTGTGGGCTCCTCGGGGTGGAAACTCTCCTGCAGCCCCCCGATTGGCCCCCCCGGATGGCAGCCTGCGGCAAGTGCAACTGGGCTGATGGCCGAGTGCTGTGATGTGCCCAGTGTGGGTACTCCGGGCACTCCAAGCCAGGACTGCTTTGCAAGCGAGGAACCCTGAGAACTGTCTGTCCGGGGTGGGGGTCGGGTCCCTTTAAGCACAGCCCTCGGCTAGCCTGAGACAGCAGCTCCACGCTCTAAGTCCTCCTCTGATGCCCTGCCAGCACTGCTTCCGGCCATCCTTAACCCCGGTTCAGGGTCCGCTCAATGTGGACATGCTAGTTCGAATGAGCAAAATGCTCATTCGAACTAGTTTTTAGGTCTAGATACACTAGTTCGAATTAGCTTAGTTCGAATTAACTAATTCGAATTAAGTTAGTTCGAATTAGTGCTGCAGTGTAGACAGACCCTGAGTCATTTCCACCTTGCTCTGTTACTATTTTAACTTCTGAACCTGCCCCTTTGCCACTGGCATTCACCGCTGTAGGCTTCTGCCACCCCCAACCTACGCGGAGGAAAGGGGTCGTTAAGCACCTCTGCTCGTTAGTATTTTCTGTGATTGGCCACGGACCAGCCCATCTTTGCTCTCCCTCTTGCTTCTAGTAAAGCTGCAGAATGTTTTCTTGTTGCCCTTTGTGTCTCTAGCTCGTTTGCGCTCGTTTTGTGCCTTCAGCTCTCTAATCCGGCCCTGCACACGCCTGTTACTTATGTGTATCCCTCCCTTGCACTCCGACCTCCTTTCCACTTTTTATACGACTTTCGTCAGTTTGGGCTCCTTGAAGATCTCCTGGGTAAGCCACGTTTTGCTGTCCTTGGTGCGCGGGGGGGCAGTTTGTTCTTGGGGCCTTAAGAATGTTCCTTTGGAAAACTGCCCCTCGTCTTCAATTGTTCATCCTCTCACTCCTGCAGCCCGTGGGAACGTACCTACCGGCTCCCGCTGTTTGCTGACGTCTGCCTTCCTGAAACCCATCGTCTCTGTTTTCTGTTCTCCCTGCTGCCCTTCTTCCTTATTGTACAGGGCGCCTGGCCCGCACCGGCCCTTTCAGGCTGACACCCAGCCCTGGGGGCGGCTGAGCCTGCAGCTGAGGCAGACACAGCCAATTGGGCCCGGCAGGGGCTGGGTAAATAGGGCTCCAAGTGCAGCGGAGATCCTCATTCTCGCTCTGGCTGAGGCTTTCTGAGATCGAGCAGGGCTGGGGGGCTCCGGCCTGACCTCACTCCCAGGTGGCAGGGCCTGAGGCAAGGCCTGGGGGTACTAGGGCTGCAGGGGGGCAGGCAGAGGCAGCAGGCCAACGAGGAGTCACCATGTCAGACGCAGTTTGCCCCGGGGCAGGGGCTAGATGGGGCCTGGGGGTGGGGCACTGGGGGGTTCC